CCCTGGCGCCAGCCAGCCCTTGTCAGGGACAACCGAGGAAATTATCAGCCTGTGCATTTCACCATAAATGTTTTGGGCAGTTTAAATGAGACTCACGGGGGGAGGCGGGGGCGGGGAGGGGAAGGCAAGTAAAGTACTGTCTTCGATAACACGCCTGGGAGACTTACTTGAGTTTTTGCCGTCAATTTAAAGCTCAACTATGGACCCACATTCCCTCTCACAAAGAAGTAAAAAGAGAAAGACAAAGGTGTTAAGCAGCTTTTTTGGCCAAACTACTCTGATGTCAATTCCTTCCTTGGAATAGCGTATCTGCCTTTAATTTTGAAGCTCAAGTTGTACATAAACTGCAGGAATTTACTCTTTCCAAGCCAATTTTTCACTTGCTACCTCCAGAATGATTACCGGGCAATCAAATCTAATATTGAAGATGAGGGGTCAACACATGTAAAGTGGATGGAAAAGGGTACGGCCCTGGACAGCACGTTTATCTTCAAGACAAAAAGACAAATATTCTGAAAATTCTAACAGAGACTGTTTTAAATGTCACCTCCTGACAGCAGAGATTTGGTTTTAGGCATGTTGCCATGTCAGCAGAGGGGTTTATTCCCCTCTGCATTATCATGGGGAAAAGTTTATCTTTAAATATTTTTTCAATCAATATGTAAGGCAAATCGACCAAAAATCGTGCTCTCAGAACAATCTGTAGTTTGTCTTATCTGAAAGAAATGCAGAATTTTGAAGAAAATGTTTTTAATTGTGAGCTATCTTTACTGTACATCACCTAACAGTTTCAGAATACCTGACCACCAGTGTGTGTGTGTTAGTTCAAATATATTAAGTGTTTCTTTTGCTTCTCATACCCATAAAGGGTGCTTAATCAAATTTACTTGGCAGTTAGGGCAGGCTAGGAGCAGGCACATGAGCTGTTACTGAAAGCCAGGTGACAGCATCCATGTGATGAGCTGAAGGCAATGGCAGTCACATACCTGTAGTCACCACATGCGTGCTGAGGCACAACAGCTCACTGCACATGCAATACTGACCCAGCCAAACTGCCAGTTCCGCTTACGCTTCCTCTCACACTGTATATTCCGTTGCCAAAAAAATCCCAGGCTGAACCCCGTATAATACTTGCAACCATTATTCCTCAAGACAGACTCACAGCTTTAACTAAAATACCTTTTCTCTTTGAATCATTATACTCGACATTGTCTTAATGCTTTGTCATCCCTAGATGGAGCTCTAAGTCATTCATTATGCCCAGATGCTCAACCACCACAGAGACAGCCATTAAACTGAAAAATATCAGCAACACATATAATTCTAGCCCAAGACAGGCGAACGTATCTGTAGCAATTAGCACATAGTAATATTTTAAATATACTGCATAACACAGCACAGCTTTCCAGAAGAGATTTAAATTTTAGGGGGTTCACACTGTGTCTTCAAATAACTCAAATCCACTCAACCCATAAAGAAATTACTAATTTCCTTGAAATTCCTGCAAACATATTCTTAAATCTTGCAGTATTTACATTTATTTTTTGGCTTACTTGGCGCATACCTCAACTAGAACAAAGCACATGATTTGCAGAGTTGAGATGTAATTAACACTCCCCCTCAGTTTAAGATACTCACACAGCTAGCCTTTTTATACAGAGAGGGATTTTCTTTTTGTATGAGAAAGGCTAAAGAACCTCTGTTTGAAATTTCAGTTTGCTTTAAAGCAGCTTCAGGTTCACTCTCTAACCTAATATACTGTAAATCTCCAGGTTTAGGCTGGATTACATAATGCATTGCTGCATAAACACTATTGCTAGCAGATAAGAGATCACAGAATATCTCAAGTCGGAAGGGACCCATAGGGATCATTGATGGCAGAAACAAACAATAACCACCTCCTTTCAGTTGCGGTACCATTTTCTGATACCTTCAGGGCATGTGAGGAGCCCCACTAAATACCTGTATTGTAATTCATCTGATAGGTAGTAACTAAACTGAATTACGGAATAAAAAAGAATCTTGTATTTTAGGATTGTAAAGTACACCTTTCATTTAAAAAGGAAAACCTATTTTTTCCCCTTCACCCTTCCCCAGCCTTACCCTCTGAAGGGGGTGAAATGCACAGGAGTTTAATGTCAGTACGAAAAATCATTCACTATGGGAACGTAACTACCTGCTACAGATTCAGGAGGAGAGTAGAACTGCCCATCAGAGAGGACTCCTGGGTGAAGAAGAGCTGCTCGTTCAGAAGCATCCTGTGCTATCAAAAATCCTAAAAGGAAAAAAAAAAACCAAAAACCACCCTAAATCCTCAATGCTATTACATAGCATCTTAAAGATGAAGTATCGATGAAGACTCTTAAAGACTGATGCATTATATTAGCATAACAAGTTACTTCTATAAATAAACATCTCAGATGTTAATTTAACATTTACGTCTTCTACATAACTTCAGGCAGCTAAGGAGACACATTCCTGCAAAACGGAGGTACTGTACACACGAATTAAGGAATCCTTCCTTCTACTATGTGTGACTGCATGATTAGGATGCCAGATGTAAATTCATCAATATTGGCTAACTAAAACTCTGAACTATATTTTTAATGATCAGTGAGCTGCAATGCATAATTAAATAAATTATTTTCTCACTTTGCCACTATAAATATCCTCATTAACAGCTTGCTTTCACCTATCTGTCTCAACATACCTACTTATTCCAACCTTCAACTCCTTTTGGCTGAATTTCATCTAAAACCAGGAAAATTATTTGGAAACGACATGGGGTTATTCTGGCGTGTTTAATACAGGACAAAAACCAAAAGGGCTTGGGAGAGAAGCGAATTCATCTCAACCTTACTGCCATCAACAGGTCTTCTGATAATAACAGGGCAAAGATGGCATTTTAGGTCAACATAAGGCTATTGAATTTCCATCCTTCTCTCTCTGCCACATGAAGACTGATGGGGGAAAAACCAAAGAAAACCTTGATGTTTTACTGAATCAGGAGAACTATTTGAGGTAGCCAGCAGTTATTAAAAAAAAAAAAATCTCTTTCCAACTCAAACTACTATTTCTACATACCAATTTACCTTATTAACCAGTTTGAAGTCTCCAAAGGAGACATCCATTTTACTTATATTTCCACACTGTCCAAAAGAGGAAGGTCAGTCCCCATACTTAATGAGTCACAAGACACATACTGGTTGGATTTTAGCTTTAAATCCTGCTCACAGAAAAACGTTCAGAGCTGGAAATTTTCTTCCGTGGAAAGACAATTTTGCCCTTTTTTTTTTTTTTTTTTTTTTTTTTGAAGTTACAAACAAAACACCTCCAAATTCTGAACAGTGTTGCATTAGGCAAAAAATTGCTGTGGTGCATTTTTGTTGATTGAGGTTTTTTAAAACAAAACAGTAAGATGGAAAAAAGTCAGCTTCCACTCCCACTAGAGACAGGAGAGAAAAATACCTAGTCAAAAAGGAGAAACTATTAAAATCTGTTTTCATTATCTGCCTCAGATTTAAAAGCAAATAAGGCACTATATAAGTACCATGACACAACACAATCCAATTGTGCCTATCATTTGTCTGACTTAATTGCTTAAAATCAGCATTTTCCAGTGAAACCCCCCTTTTTTTTTTTTTTGGAAATACACAGAGTTCAATAGTTCTAAAAGCATCTGTTCTTAAATAAATACCATTTATTGCAAGCTCAGTAGGAATGAAGAAAAAGAAAGTGCCATTGAATCCCACAGGTATTTAGCAACAGTATCTCAATTTTATAAATGCAATCATCGAGTATTTACATGTGTATGTATGAAATACTGTCTTTTTCTATGAATATTCAGTATAAAAAAAATGCAAAAGTTTCAGAGCACTAAAAAAATGGAGGCATCCATGCCCATGTAAAGTTTTTGTTTTTAACCTAACAGGCAAACATGCCCTTCCAACAGAGTTTCAGACTGAATTTGGGGTAATGATGCACAAATAACAGGTTTGCTGTATAATTACTCTCCTCCTGTTGAAACTAACAAAAATCCGTAACAGAAATCTATGCTTTTGTTTCCTCACCACTCAAGCAATATTCTCTTTCAACTAAATCAATGGGTTTCCTCCACATAGTTGAATATATTGAGTGACAGATGACCTGCTGCCTAATCTTGAAGAGGCTGAAATTCATACTTGCTCTGGGGTCTTATTCTGTCTGTGCATGAAGGAGACTCTCCACAATACTACTTTGCTTTCCCTTTTCCACCCCAAAAGAGAAGCTAGTGACATCGAGTTAGTTGTGTCTACTGTTCCTAAAAGAGAAACCAGACACTTATTCTATGTGTTACCCAGAAAATAAAATTCTACAAGCCCAAGTCAGTTAAATGTTCATGTCTTAAGCATACAAAATTATATATGTTCCTAAGTGCTTGACAAATTGCTGATCTGGCCCTTGTAACTTTTAACTTTACTTCCCTAAATTAATTCAAAACCCACTTCTTTGAAGGCATATGTTCCTTTTCAGGAAAAGAAAAAAATATGCCATATGATGTAATTTTTCCCACAGCTCTTCAAATTCTGAGAAGCTGAAAGAAGCATTCTTCTGCCAGATACATGGGATTGAATGTTGCCAACTGCAGCGATTGAGAGGAAATATCAAAAGCTTACTGTTTTCTTCTTCAGCTTCTTGCGGTAACACTTTGAAGTCCAAGAACCAGGTTTCAATCCAGGCAAGTATGAAGGATATGATGGGCAGCACGTAGCCAAAAGCACCCTGTGAGAACAGCTTGAAGGAAACAAAAGCACACAACATTACATAAATTACCCTGAAGAATCTTGCTTTCAGGAAAACAACAAAAGTAAAACAAACATCTGATTAGAATATATACCTGTGAAATAATTACTTTTGCTAATAAAAAGGCACTGGTCACTGCTGTAGTAAACTGAAAGAGACAGGGTAAGAACAGTTAAGACTAATAAATGGATTTACTTTCTCATTTCTGCCATTATCTATTAGTTGCAATTTTAAATATTTACCAAGAACAGCAAGAACGTAGATTAATAAAACATAACAAGTGTAATGCAATTAACTTAAAGTGTTATTAAAATATCCTCCTTAATAAAGATAACTTTCAGTACAGACAACTCCAAATGTTGATTTCCACACAGCAGATAGGCAGTTTAGATGCTACACAGATGCTAAGTTACATTGTAATCTTAGTATATAATGAAGATGCAGCGTTTTATTCATCAAGTCCCTTAAAAAAGAAAAAAATCTATCTATGTATTTGGAAAAAGCAACCAGCAATTGCTCCAAATGCTTTTCACTACCATCCAAATCAAAAGATCCATTTCAAATAACAAAACTTCTTTGCAGAAGTAAATTTGAATTAATATTTTAATTCACGTAACGAAATTGTGAAAAATTAATCACTTTGAAGACTTGATACTCCCTGACATATTTAATAAATGGCAGGCTGCATAAAATAACTGAAAAAAATAATAAAAAGCAGTGGACAAGTACGGTTCAATCAAGCAAGGCTTCTAACTCTAATAGTGCATTTGGGTCCAGCAATTCTTTAAATAACAGCAGAACCTAACTAGCTTCTGGTAAGCACAGGTAGGATTTTAAGATTAATGGCTTCTGCAGACCCTTGAGTGAAGCCTTATACATCTAATTCCTTACTACCATGATGGGTTCACTGTCACCACCTCACAAACTACTGCATCAAGTTGGAGGATGTCATTGGCAGAAATACTGTAAAGCTACAGAACTAAGAGTGAGGGATTTTGAGAGGTGTGCACTTAAAAATACACGCAGTCATAGCAGTAGTTACTATTATGTGTGTGTTTGTGCCATGCTACTAACAGTTTCACAAAAATCATGGCATGTAATCTCAGACTACTAAACAAACTGCATGCTACTCACTTGAAGTTATACATGAAGACATTCTACACGCGCCTACCACAGTGTAAGGGAAAAAAGGTCTAAGATTTACAATGCACTAAGCCAGCAATATGCCTGTTGTATTACAGTCAATAGTACTGACTGGTGGAAGTATGAATTTATCACCAAGTTTTGCATTCTTTCTCATCCACACAGTAGAACTGCATTAAAGATACTTGCTCCAATCCACTGTGATTGCCTACAGTTCCCAAGAACTTCCCTTCTAAGAAGGGATGCGTATTCAACATTTTGTATTGGAGCATGAAGCAATATAGGTGCTTGTGCTCAATGGGTGACACCTAAAAATTGAAAAAGTTAAGAATGTGGGAGTTACTGGACAGCTGGATCTCTGGTATAGTAATGCCAACTCTTCTTTTTTGAATACAGTTCACTATTTCAAATGCAAATGTATTTCAAACAAAAACGTATTTCAAACATTAATTAACAAGTCAGAGGTAACAAGCAGTTATGATTAGCCATCCATACTGGATTCAAGGTAAGTCTTCAATTTGTATTAACATGATACCTCATAAGGACCACACCCACTGTGCTATTAAATTCTTGTCTTTAGGCTGAAAATCTTCCAGAACAGAAGTTTTTAATCTGTTACTGTACAGTGGATTTTTACATGTAGCATCGAGATGATTCTTAACATACAAGCGTTAAGAGGCATCTAAAATTTTGTCTGTTTGATCCATTCTAGTTAAAACTCCATTATGCTTGGCTACTACTCACAGCTATTGCCCACCAATGGCGCAGTCTGCACATTGCATATGCAAGTATTAACACCTTAAATCGAAAGACTGCCAGTAGCTATAGAGAAAGGAAAAAAATATTTGTTGGTTAATTCAGAACACAGAAGGACCACAAGATTCTCAGCTCACTGAAAATGCTAACTGCTTACAAAACAACTTAAAACAGGACAATCTAAGTTCTGTTACTGAGAAACAAATTTGAATGTGTGCGTACAGAACAGAAATAGAACATAATTTCCCATTTGTAAAGCAAATGGCACCACTCACGTGCCTACATAGGCTCAAATATGCAAGCATGTGCAATTCCACAAAAAATTTAGAAACATAAGAAAGCTACACAAAGTATGTTCATGATCATTTTACCTGACTGGAATCTAAGCAGTTAAATCTAGATGCAGTTAATCCAGCAAACACCTTGAGCATCACTGCGCATCTCACTGATCTTAATGGTATGCTACTGAGCAAGAATATCATTAAAAACTGTAAAGACTTCACAAATGCAGTCAGAAAACGGGAAGAATTTTTCAAAACAATTTTCTACTTCAGAAATTTTTAGTATTTATTAAAGTATTAACATTGCAACAATCAATTATTCTTTATGGAGATGCCTGCAATAGCAAGCTGTTCCAAATATTCTGCAGTAAAGAATGGTAAGTTGTGGTATTTCTAGGCCAGAAAATGAAATCAATAACAGACAGACAATATTTCTGAATCAGGGACCTTAACCCTCAATTTCCCTGTTTATTCTTTGATACTAGATTGCCTCCAACTTGTTTTAAAAGGTGTGTTCAGAATCTAAAAAATGTGAAACAAACACTTAAAAATGAAGAGAAATCAAGGACAGACATACTCAGAGATATAATGATCCCATTTCATCTCACGCAAGTATAAATGTTTCAGTGATGTGTAGCAGAAACAGCAGAAATCCCATATAAGCCCACAAATAATTTTGCATAATTCAATGACCTAGTCCCTTCCCAGGGAATAAAAGGCTATTATTTTGTATTGCATGGTTTTAAGCCTTGGTTCAACTACAGGGCAAAATAATTTCCAGAGCATCAACATTTACAGATAACACTTTTTCACTTTCTGCAGTAAGGTATATTACAGAGAACCTGACAGCAAAATAATGAGAGAGAAAGGGAGAAGTTACATAGTATGCTAGCTTACGAAATTTTTGTATCTGGTACCTCATTCCATTTGACACGACCAATGGTCCAATGAAGAAGCAAAGATGGGTTTTTACACCAGTTTCAGAAAGAAATTTTGGATATAGTCATCAATATACAATGACTGATACCAAGCAAACTAATTTCTGCCAGGAAAACAAAATCCGGTAGAATTAATGATCTTCAAAAACCATGGGGCCCTTTAGAAGAACCATAAAGAAACAGCTTTCACTTCAAGATTCGTAACTCGCTCCATGCAGTGCAAAATGCATTGCAACTACAGAGCTACAGCGCTGCTGAAAGACACAGAAACTTCCTAATACAGTAGAGTTCCTCCCATGCACCCAAGATGCTTATACATAGTAAAGGAGAATCATACTTCATGTCATCTGGTTTTGGTACAATGTTTGAAAAAAAATATTTGCGTTAAAACACAGAAATCTGCAAAAAACCTGACCTACACAGGCCAACTTGGGAACAAGTCTCTCCTCACTGCAACTGACTTATATCTGTGGAAGGACAAATGTTGGTTTAAACAAAATTATTTTACAGCTGTAGGACTATTGGTCTTGTCCTCTTAATGAATTATCTTTATGTTGTATCAGTTCTCACATTATTGACTGAGTTTTTCATCTACTTTTCTGCGCACCCCAAAGCGGAAGATGCAATTTAAGTGTGTCTAAGCATCTCCATCCACAGGATCCACGAGCCTGCTGCCAAAGCAAGACTGGGCAACCCCTAGACAAGTGAAATTTGGCACAAGTCCTTCCCAATTAAATTATCAAGAAAGATCAACCCTTTCCAAGGACTGAAACTAGAGAATATCTGTAGAAGAAGAAATGTGGGAAAACTACACTTTTGCTGCTTTTTTTTTTTATAGAGAACACTTACAAATATATCAAAATATGAAGATCAAGGACTGAAACTAGGGAATACCTGTAGAAGAAGAAACGTGGGAAAACTACACTTTTGCTGCCTTTTTTTTTTTTTTTTTTTTTTTAAGAGAGAACACTTACAAATATATCAAAATATGAAGAAGAGTAGTCATATTGTAGGACTTCTTTCTCTAAGGTAGTCTCAATGCCTCCTTTTACCTACAAAGAAACAACACCACACACAGCTTTAGAACAGAAGTTACTGAAGCCAAAATACACACAAATCTGAAGGGTGAAATTAATAGTTCCCCACTGTTGCACAGAAAGATCATTAAACTAAGTACAGAGGACATGTGCTAAGAATGCCAGTTTCAAGATTAGTGTTCTTATTTGTTGTCATTATTATACACAATTTTCCAAGTGAAAACATTTAGGATTATCACCTGGTCTATGCAAGCTATATTTCAGACTGTCCCAAAATAAAAGCAAACAAGTTGTCGAGGGAAGAAGAAATTATTAAGTGTAAGGTCTTTTACACAAATTCACAGAGCATTTTATGTCTCAAAGAGGATCAAATCGGCTGATCAAAAAGCCACCCAGAAACTAGCTCTAGTTAGTCACATGTTAGCAAACGGGAAACAAAACAGTAACTGAATTCATACTCCATATCTTTTCCTTATCAGCATACAGACTATTCATTTTAAGACAGCTGAGCAGAAAAACGCACTGTAAAAAAAAAAAAAAAACAAACCAAAAACCAGAAACTGCAACTATTAGACCATTCTCCCACAAACAACAAACACCCAAGTTTAATTCTTTCATTTGCTTGAGGGGATTCAAAATTATATCTTCCTTAGCCACTGTGTTTCTTTCCAATGGGAGGATTCATCACTTTCCTGTTCAAACTGGGTTAGTAAGAAAATAATTTAGGATGTATTGGGTCAGAGTGAGAGGAGTATATATCTTAGTTGGGATTTTTTCAACACCTTCGTGTCCATCTCCAGGTTTTTTTTAGCATTAAATTCAATAATTAAGCACTGCATGAAATAATTATGTAAAGCACTGGAAAACAACACCAACAGAAGGCTTTAATATTGAGTTAGACTGCTGTTATCCTTTTAATGAAAGGCGGTACCAAAGCACGCCAACAACATATGCTCACCATCTCAAAGCAATGCAGTCTCATCACTTCCACACTTTTCCCAAATACACTGCTGGACAGTGTTTTCCTGAGACTATTCGCTCCAACTCCGAACGTCTTTTATTTCTTCTCCTTCCCTTCTCCTCTAAGGCTACCTGGCAAATAATTTTCTAAATATATCTTCCCCTTAGTCACTCTACTGCATCAGGTGCGATCACCTGTTTCCAGCATAAATAAGGAAGATCAACTTCCCCCCCTGCAACCTGTTCACTGCGTGGCTGCATAAGCACCATGTTAACAAAAAGATGAACAGAGAACCATGACAGCCTCGGATTTAGGGTTTGCTCAAACTGCCATGAAGCTACTCCCTAAAATGTTTAAAAATAAATTACACCTAAGCACACTGGATAATGGCGACGAAGGGAAAACAATACCTACAGGAACTCTGGCAGCAATTCTCAAGTCCCATTTACTTATGTACCACTGACGGACAGTCCTAACACTATTTGAATTCCCAATGAACAAAACTTAATTTAAAAACAGGACAAAAAAACCCTAACCACGCATCAGATCCTAGACATCAAATGATGGCTTCTAATATTATAACTTCCAAAGACAAAAAACTGGTTTTTATTCTTGCTGACATTTGGCAGTATAGGACTCTGGTTCATAATGTGTTCTCCTTAAAACAACAGTTTTCACAAAAAAGCCTGCTAGGATCTTGAGGTCCCTTAATGCTGCAGCACTCAAAATGAAACACTGTGAATTGGTAGCACTTTCTGTACAGACTCTTAAATATTCTGAGTGCGCCAATATGAAAATCTACACTCAATCCCTGACACAAGATACAAACTCGGACTCTGCTCCTCCTAGTTGAACAAGCTGTTGAGAAACTGGCCTAAAAAAAGAAATGCATCAGAACACTATGCTGCTTTTCTGAGATGAGCTAACTTTATGCACCAGATACAAGTCTTTCCACCTACAGAGACAACGGAAGTGTAGTCCCAAAATTACAGCATTCAGGCAAGCAAAATTTGCTTTCTCAAATTAAATCGGAAAGTGTATTTTTCACTGTATCAATGAACTACTTTTAACAGTCAGCCCCTGAAACGGCATAATGTCAGATCAATAACCAAGGTTATTTATCTTGTAAAGGAATGCTGACAAAAAATGTTTACTCACGATCTTGTCTAGAAAAGAGATTCCTCCTGTTTTCCCTGTGTGTCCTTTCTTAAATGCATACTTTAGATCATATCTTAAAACCCAGCTCAAGAACTAGGATGCTACTTACGAAATAATAACAAAGCAGCTGTCCTATTGCTTTCTGGAAATTTCAGGAGAACTACCTCATTTCCCAAATTACAAACGCTAGAGTTAAAAGGTGGCAACTGCACAAGTTTATGTTGTTTAAACACACCCTGCCATACACAATTTATAACATACTAAGTTTGTCTCAAAGAAAATACATCATAGCGAAAGAAAGGTTTTGGCCATTGGGAATCTTTCCAGGGACCAACACCTCAGTGAAATATCACTGACACTTAGTTACTCAGAACGCAAACTCTCGAATCCTGTTAAAATTCACAATTCTTGCCAAATTCAAAGATGTACAGTAACATTTTTGTTTACTTGCTGCCTGAAAAGTTTACTGGATTTCCAATTGTTTCTTCAGCATGGTTCATAGACTACACAAACAATAAAGGTTTAATGATAAGAAGGTAATAAACCGTGTATCCTAATGACTACTTTTAAGTAGATGCAGTTGAATAGATACTATTCATGAAAGCTTAAAAGTAAGAAGCTTCAATTTAAATAGATACAAATAGCATATAGTTTGGGATAGAAAAGAGCAACTTATTAGCCACTCCTGAAGTGAATAAATTCATAAAATCTAAGGGTACTGAAAAGACAACTCACATTTAATTCTATTATCCATAGCAAGGTTATGAATAAGAGGTCAAATGTAACAAACAAACAGAAAGTCCTTCTGACATCTGAAATGCCTTTCTTCTCTCTGCCTTCATACGACTCAATCCTTGCCATCAGCTGCGCTGGGTTGATGGAGTGGACATCCCGCAAGGAAGGACAGGATTCCACGCTGCTACTGTGAGCGTTTTCTGCATCACCTGGCACCCGATTCATCCTGGGTTTGCTTAGAGTGGTCTTCTTCCAGTTTCACCATCACTAGAAGGCTGATCCATACAGGAAGAGTTTCTAAACAAACAAACAACACCAAAACTCATTAGTCACCAAAACCCCACAGTTCTAGTAAGTAATGTCATCTTACTGTGTCAGTTCCCATTTTGCTAAACTGACAACTAAAAGAATGTGGCAAGTAGGCTCTAAAAATAGTTTCTAAATTATGATACATCTAGGCTCTCTTCATCTCTCAGAGGATTTGTGAAACAAGAGAATTAATGTTCAATTAGTAAATAAGGGAGAACTGTCTAGATTTAGCAGGCTCCGTTCTCCCCATTGTTAGAGTGAGATAATTAAATGGGAATGAATAAAAAACATAATGTTGTGCATCTTTAAGGTTTCTGATTCCAACTTAAACTCTATCAATAGGAGGCCAACTTAAAGGAAGCTCCACATGCAACTCCTGAAAAATGGCAGTGTTAGCTACCAGCATGTCCAGAGCTGACACAACCAAAAAGTTAAAAGTCCATTAAAAACCTTGAATACTGTAATAATCATCCTATAAAGCAAATACACTGCTATTTGGTCTATAGATTAATTCAGCTGCTATGACAGCTTACATTGCCAGACAGGGTCTCCCTGATAAAACTGCATGCAACCCAGTGGTTAAAGGTAATGCAATTACCCTAAGTCTCTTCTATAAGGCTTTTAAAAAAAAAAAAAAAAAATCAGGTTAAATTTCTTATGAAACTAGAGCAGTTTAATGTACAATTCACTACATTACTCCATGAGAACCTTTTTCCAATTAAAGCTTCTAGAAAGAACTAAGAAGGTCACGAAAGTTTCAAGGAAACACACAGAAAATTTAATTTTATGCAAAATACTCAGAAGAATAAGCTATACATCCTACAACACGAATCACATCAGCCAAGCTTCTGTAATGCTAGGGGAATAACTGTTTGAAAGTAAAGAACAAAACTTTGTCTCTTCCTGTGTGGGCTCTTTCAGTAAACCACAAAACAGAAAGAAACCCTTCCCACTCTTCTGTTCCAGCAGTGTTTCAAGTCTGCAAGAACGCAGTCAGTCAAAGCACAACAGGAGAAACAGGCAGGGGATCTGCAACACACCACTAGGCAAACACAAGGATACAAGGACACGGGTGGAAGGGAAAGTGGGTCAGGGAGTTGCCACTGCACACACATCACAGCCAAGGAAGAGGCAGGCCAGCCAGGGATGGCCAATGTCTAGGTCAAGTCGCATATACAGCCTTCAGGCTGTTCAAAGTCTGCTTTCCTTAGGCAACGTCATGAGAAGGGTAACAGACCTGCACTGCTGAGACAGAAGCTACCTTGCCAGCTGAGTCTCTACCTGAAGGGAACAAGCCATCAGAGGCAAACCAAGCCAGTATCAATCACCACCTCATTCTGGGATCCAACTGTGGGCCAAACCAAGCACAAGGGCAAGCACAAGCACAGGCAGGCTACTGCCATCCTGCTCCTGCCTGGCAATCAACCCCAGGACACTCCTGCCCATGGCTTTCCAAAGCCAACCAAACGTACATGGCTTCTGGTTCTCAGTCGTAAACCATGGGACCAGGAAAGCTGACAGGCCTTTTGCTGGGCCTAATCTCCTTTAAAGAGGCGTTAGCAGAGCACAAGTCACCAGAGAAATTAAGAAGTGGAAATATGAGATTGAGATAATCAGCTTCATCATTAACCGGAATAAAAATAAAGACAGAAATTGTTGCACTGCACTTGCTCTTGTTTCAAGATCTTTTCAAGCAAATTTACACCTGAGCATCTTCATTACTTCTCATTCTCACCCTCCTTGTTACTCAGCTTTGGGTGAGAGGTGTTGGGATTTGTGCAAAGACTTTTCCCAGTAAGTACAAGTCTCAACTCTGTAACACATGCTCCCTCCCTTCCTCTGAGTCATGCACAAATTAGAATCTATAAACACCGCTAGGCAAGTGGAAAAAACTTTGAAGTTAAACTGATCTTGCATCAGGTTTTTAAAATTTTTTTTTAAATTAAAAAAACCCCACACTTGTACAGTCATAGTACTGAAAGGACTAGGAAGCTTTACAGCAGGAACATGAACGCAGAGTTACTCAACATTAAGAATTCCAGCGAATCTGCTTCTCTCCAACTATCCCATGACAATACACATTTTCAGTCAGAAACTGTTATGCAATTACTTCTATACCTCTGTTTCAAATACCAGCCACTAAACTAAGTCTACAAATCCCATTTATATGTTAGTTTGATAATATCCCTGTTATCTAAAATGCCCGTCTATGCAAAGTGGATCATTTAACTACTTGCTATGCAAAGACATATTTCAGAAAAATTCAGCAGAAACGTTATCTCATAACATCCCCTTGCAAAGACTAGTCCAAGGATTCATATTGCTTCCTAGCGGAAGAGAAGAACATTTTGAAAAGTAAGTAAAAGCTCTGAAGAACTGACATTTATTCTGTCCTCTCTTCCCCCAAACAGAAATAGTACTAATTGCCATTAATTTTATTAGTACCATCAGACTCATAATTCTGTAGAATAGAATAGAACAGAATAGTTCAGCGGGATGGGACCTACAATGATCATCTAGTCCAACTGCCCGACTGCTCCAGGTCTGACCAAAAGTTAAAGCATGTCCCAGCTAGCCAAAAGCACCAGTCAAGGGCGGCCAAGCACAATACATCTTTAAAGCCTCCTCCTTTATTTCTACAGCAGCTGCCTGAAACGGGGCTGTCAAAGGGCTTTAGAGGAGGAAGACATATGGGGCATGTGTTTGGTCAGGTGTCTCAAGCACCACAATGAACTTTGGGCCACCTGAACCCGAGGGTGTGAGCAGAATTGCTGCACTCGAGTGCTGTAAACAGCACTCCCTTTGTACTGAAAACCCTCACACTCAAGTGCCCTGCAGTGTAACAGGCATTCGTAGGAAAACATTTGGGATGAGATATAAACCCAAGACCTGGCCATCAATGGCCATAGTTAAAAAATAAAAGAAAAGCCAAGAATTGTTAAAGAAAGAAAAAAGCCAAGTAACACCTGCACTTCCAAAAGAATTTCCATCTACATTGGCTAAAAGACATGACCTTTTTTTTTTGATGTGGCAGTCAGCGCAATTATCTAGGAAATTGTTACTTCCAGTCTAGATTGTTGCTGGATACAGCGTGGTACGGGAATGCAATTAGTGCAGCTAGAGCTAATTGTTTCAGGATGTCCTAGTTCAGCTTTCATTTGCCTTGTAGGGCCCTTTGCAAACAGGAAAGCATGGTCTTAAAATGCACCGGCTACTGCATTGTTGTCAAGCCTAACACAAAACACT